ATAAATTATTATTTAATAAATAAATATTAAATAATAATATTTAATTATTTAATATTAATTAAATAATGAATATTACTGAAGCACACTTGGTTTTGAGTTCGGATCACTTTCTGTCTAACAGCTGACTTAGTGCATGCTGTCGAATATTATACAATAGTTAAAGGAAAAGTTCACCCAGAAATTAAAATCTGCTGAAAATGTTCACCCTCAGGCCATCTGGGATCAGGATGAGTGTGTTTCTTCATCAGGTTTGTAGAAATGTAGCTATTTTGGATGACAACACTAATACATATATGATGAGATAAACTGCTATCAAAATAACAATGAACACATGTAACTCACCAAATGCCCTCAAAATATCATTTTACAACTGTTCTGAATTTAATTTGAAAGCTCGGCCAATAATAGGCTTATAAATCTAAAATAAAGTTCCAGCGTCGCGATCTCGCGGGCGCGGTGCATGCTGGGACAGCGGGTCCTCCACGCGCGCCTCCATCTTTAAACCCCAGAGAAAAACAGCTTCCGCTCAGCCGTACACGCACATCCTGCGCTCACATCCACATTTATGACACAATAACCACAGATCTGCGCTTTGAATCGACATTTCGGAGCAGCAGAGACCCGAGGAGCTCATGGGAGCCGCGTTCGCTGCATTAGGAGCTTTATTTCTGCGTTGACGTCCACAAAAACAGAGGCGGAGAAGATCGCAAGTGCGCACCTCTTCTTCTTTTGTCCGGGTTCTCTTCTCTCGGAGATGAGTAGTGGAAGATGTCGGTTTCGGGACTGAAGGCCGAGCTGAAGTTTCTGGAGTCCATCTTTGATCCGAACCACGAGCGCTTCAGGATCCTCGACTGGAAACCGGACGAGCTGAGCTGCCAGTTTAACGTTACCGGAGACCAGCTGCTGATCATCCACTGCAACCTCACGGTAAGACGGAGAACACGCAGCCACACGCCGCAAGAAGCGCTCAAAACACAGGGCTGCCTGATAAACAGCCGCGCTCTGGCCGCGTCCCAATCCCTCGGTAGGCAGCACACTAGGTTTATCACCTGATAACTACCGTTAGTCATCAAGATCAGCTCTCGGGTTTCATTTGTGTAAACATGTCCGTGTGGACGTGATCGTCTCGCTGTGTTTATGGAGTTACTGTCAGTGATGGAGTCGGTCTGCGAGTGAGGGCGCGAGCTGGATATAAAGTGCGCACTTCGGGGTCCATTACTGACCCAGTTCTGGCGTCTTGTTTCATGGCTTTTCTTCTTAATGTCCGGATGCCATTTTCTGTTGAGAGCAGTACAAACCTAGTGTGCACACTATTTAGACTGCATACGATCCTCCTCCTGCCAGGGACCTTCATCCTGAACTTTAAAAAGCAGATGAATATTTGCCAATTTTATACAGTAAAACTAAGATTATAAATATGGCTGAAATGTGATTTGGAAAATATTTAGTGTCAGTTATGTTGCATTTTTTTTTCTGTTTTTTATTTTATTTTATCAATTGCTTTATTTAATGTAGCTAATTTTTTTTTTTATTATTTATTACTAGTATATATATATATA